TGTCCACTGTGGACGCTGGGTGAGCCTCCCCGGCTGCCGGGAGCTTATGCCATCGACAGAGGGAGGTGGACAGTGGGTGCAGGGCCGGGAGGGACAGTTGAGTGCTCATGGGGAGGGGCTCTTTTTGGGAGTTGGACTCTGGAACCAGATGGACGTGGTGGTGCACACGTCTAGGAATGCACTAAGAGCAGTGGCTGCAGCATTTCTGAGGCTGGTGGTTGATTTCAGGGACATCAACGCTCTTCTTCCTGGGGACGGACCCAGGGCCTGGCACCTCCTGGGCATTGTCCCCCAGCCTCCCTAGTGCCCTCCCGCTAGGAGGAGGGACGCAGACAGTGGGGGCTGGGCTGGGCTCAGTGGGAGCGCACTTGCCCAGCACCCGGGAGGCGCTGGGTTGGCTCCGCACCACATAAATAAACACATAAATAAAGGTGTGGTGTCCGTCGACTACTGAAAACATTAAAAAAAAAAAAGCCCGCAGACATTGCAGGTGTGTGCGGGCAGCTGCTGCTGCGGTAGCGGCCTGGGAGATGGGGCAGGTGGGCGGGGGCTGGTGGGCAGAGCTTGGGCAAGTCTAACTGATGTTCCACATCCTGTCCCCATGCTGCCCACCGGACACTAAAGCCCAATGGGGCAGTCCTGGTCCCCAAGTCAGCTCAGCATCCCCTGCTTCTCTCCCAGGCTGGGAAGTGGGTACCCTGTGGCCACCATCAGCTCCTCCTGCTCCTCGGGTCTGGGCCTGGGGCACCAGCCGGGACTGCGTCCCTCGCGCTCCGGCCTGCCTCCGGGGCTCTGTGGAGCTCTTTCTTCATTCAGCGCCGGGGCTTGAACCAGGGGCCTGGCCTGTGCTGTTGACCCTTCTGCCACTCGGCCGCAGCCCAGCCCCACGGTCACTTATTCATCTGCGTGTGCGGAGCAGCCGCTAGGTGAGGAGGGGACCCAGCGGGGGCCTGGGGGTGACTCTCAGGCCGAGGTGCCATCCGTGCAGACGGGCTGACCCATGGAGGCTCAGCGAGGAGGCCGCGAGGAGGCCGCGAGGAAGCCGCGTGGCTGGAGCAGACAAGTGGAGGGAGGTGGGCGGTGGGCGGTGGGCGGCAGAGAGCAGGGGTCGAGCAGGGCCTCCAGCCGTGGGGGATCTGGGCTTTGAACAGAGACACACACTCGGGGTGCCAGAGGCCCCTGGGAGCCTCTGGGGAGAACAGACAGAGCTAGAGACCTGGCCGGAGGGGCCACAGCAGAAATCCAGACACTGAGGTCAAAGCGGATGAAGGGGAAGAAAGGTGGAAGGGCAGAAAGAAAGGAAGAGGAAGAGGAGTGACCGCAGGGCAAGCCGTGCTGCTCGTGGGCAGCGCCCCAGGCCCGGCCCGCCTGGCCGCCCTCCAAATCCCTCAGGGCCACATCCCCACGTTGACATCCTACCCTGAGAGTCCCCACAGGTCACTGTGCCATCTCCAGAATCCTGATATTGTCAAGTACCCTGGCCAGTCAGGCTGCAGGTGGCTGTGTGGCCTCAGGAGGGACCCCGTCTGCAGGGCCAGGACCGTGGGCAAGGTTATAGTGGACTCGGGACAGATTTAAATTTTTATTTTCATTTTTTATTTTTGTACCAGGGATTGAACCCAGGGGCGTTTAGCCGCTGAGCCCCACCCCAGCCCTATTTGTATTTTATTTAGAGACTTGGTCTCACTGCGTTGCTTAGTGCCTCGCTTTTGCTGAGGCTGGCTTTGAACTCGCGATCCTCCTGCCTCAGCCTCCTGAGCCGCTGAGGCGTGTGCCACTGTATCTGGCCAAATTTAAAAAATTTTTAAATATATTTAGTTGGGCAGGGTGTGGCTCAGGGGCAGAGCCCTTGCTTTGCCCATGTGAGGCACTGGGTTCGATCCTCAGCACCGATAAAAATAAATAAACAAAATATTGTGTCCATCTATAACTAAAAACTTAAAAAATATACACATATTTATTTGTAGATGGACACAATACTTTTATTTATTTTTTATTTATTTTTTTAAACAAGCTCTCTACAAAGATGTGTCTGCCGAAAACTTAAATGTAAAAAAAAAAAAAAAAGATTAGAGATCAGGGCCGAGACACAACATCTTGGTTTGTATGTGGTGCTGAGGATCGGATCCGGGACGCATGCATGCCTGGCGAGCGCGCTGCCGCTTGAAACACATCCCCAGCCCCACAATACTTTTATCTTATTCACTTATTTTTATGTGGTGCTGAGCATGGAACCCAGGGCTGGGATGTGGCTCCGCAGAACGGCGCCTCTGGCTTCAACCCCCACCGCCAGACACTCACACACAGATGCTGTGCATTTTAACAGACATACTTGGCCATTTTTCAACGTTTTCCTACTATTTTGATGTTCTGGGGAAAATTCATTAAAACGTTTCAAGAAATCGAAAGTACATAAGAACTGTGCAGAGGGAAGCAGGCTCTTCCGTGTCCAGTGTGGCTCTGCCAGGCAGCAGCCCAGGGGAGGGGCTGGACTCTGCAGCAGGAGCAGTGGGAACCTGGAGGCCACCGGCCTCGGGGCCTGGCCTCCCTGGAAGGCCCCGCGTTGGGGTTAGTGTTTGGTGTTTTGCCGCCCTCTGGTGGCGGTGGGCGTTTACTGCTGGCTGCCTCAAGCCCGGACGCGGCGTGGAAGCCCCAGGATTCACTTAATCCTGAGTAACGAGCACCACACCAGGCGCCTGGTGACCCGCATAACATCCTCCAGGATGTCACTGCCGCTACCCCTACTTACAGGCGAGGAAACAGGCTGCGAGAAGGGAGGGCCTTCCGCAGTCCCTGGGGGGGGGTGAGTGGCACCTGGTACTCAGGGAGCTACCCCACTGGGTGCTTGTCACCCAGAACTTAGCAGAGCAGCATCCCAGCCCTGGCTGGAAGCCCCTGAGGCCCCTGGGACTGCCGGGGGCCAGCTCCCTGGGTTCCATTGTCACCCCCGGGGTCTCCTGCTGAGTGGCTGGTCCCCTTGTCCTTGGAGAAAGATGCTCCTAGAGGCCCATGAAGGGCCACTCCCTTGAACCCGAGGCCATGGCTGTCGGTGTGGCTCAACCTCGGAGCCGGTCGGTCTCCTCAGTGGGCGTTCCTGGGCACCAAGGCCCTTCCCCGCTGAGGGGAGGTGACAGGCAGACAGAGACGGAGAGACGGGGGCTCCTGGCCGCGAGCCTAGGGAGCCCTCTGTGGCCCAGAGTTGTGCTGGCCTTGGCACGGTGGCCTCTGCGCAGGCGGAAGCCGAGCCTGCCAGGGTGGTCAGCTCTCCAGCACCCACTGAGGTTCTTCTGGACCTTCACCCCCGGGTGCTGTGGGGCTGGGGAGACCTGCTGAGGCCAGGAAATCGGGCCACCAGGAGCTGGGACAGTGTCATGAATGAGATGACACCTGAACATGCTCCTTTGACCCAGTGCCTGGCAGAGGATCCCGGCGGCTGCCCTGAAGAAGGGACCCCGCCTCAGCGCAGCCTGCTCCCGTGGTGTGGGCCTCAGGCCTCGTGCAGGGAGCACCCGGGCAACAGCTGTCCCAGGGATCTTGGGCAGAGCTGGCAGAAGGTCGGTGGAGAACGGGGTGCCAAGACCCTCGGTGAGGGTAGAAATGGCCCCAAACAGGCCCATGCTCTAGACTCTGAGGCCTGTGGACACGTCACCTCCTGTGGCAGACAGGCTCTGAGCTGCAGTGACCTGGTCATCTGGGGCCCAGGGTCCTCAGGAGAGGAGGCAGGAGGGCCAGAGTCAGAGAGGGACGTGGAGACGCTCACTGCTGGCTCTGGAGCTGGAGGAGGGGGCACACAGCCCCGCTGCCCCTGGACTTCCGCCTCCTGCCCTCCAGCCTGCCTTTAGCACGTGGGTTCTGGAGATTCCCGCAGCTGAAGGAGACCTGCCTCCTCAGGCAGAGGCCCCGGGGGACAGCGGGGAGACCATAGAGAAGCCTCGGAGACCCACCCTGGGATGCCAGGGCTGGAACTGCCTGGGGGGGGGCAGAAAGCCCAGGTGGACAGAATGGCCCAGGTGCAAGGGCGGTAGCCAGCCTTAGTACAGAGCTCCCTGAGCGGGAGCCCAGCCTCCTCCCTCAGGCCTCCTCGGCTGGGGGTCCCTCGCTGTGGGGCGATTCCAGACCCACGTCTGCTGGTGGCTGTCCCGCGGCCCGCCTTAAATACAGAGTTCTTAAAATAGCCATTGCCGGGCTTCCCAAGCGGGTCCCCGGGCTACCTGGCCGCTCCTAGCATCCCGGGGAGGGGATTGCAAAACTGTGCCCGGGACACGTGCCTCACACGGGGCTGGGTCACCACTGCGGCACACAGACGAACCCGTCTGGGTCTTCATCCCCGGGAGCACAGAGGGAAAACTGAGGCTGAGCAGTCAGAGGACCCCAAGGGTGCACAGCGGTGGAGCATGATGGGACTGCGTCCAGCATCCATGGCCCTGGCCAGCAGGATCCCGCCATCTCTGGTGAGCCTAGAGTCCCCTGGAGCCTAATTAACGACCCTCCCATCGCCCCGACACCAGGAGGGCCAGGGATTCCGCAGTGCTCAACGAGCATTCAAGTGCTGGAGATGAGATGGTGGGCCCCCCCTGCCCTGCATCACCGGCCGCTCCAGGGGACGCGGGGTCCCAGTGCGGGCCTGGCAGGGCTCCCCTAGCACCAAGAAAGACCGCGCAGACACGAGGTTGGCTTTGTGTAGCAGGCGGCCGGCAGGCAGGCTGCTGGGCAGTGTATTTCTCGGTGGACGTCCCAGGCGGCTCCCGGGTGGAGGCGGCGCTCGGCGGCCCTGCAGCGGGTGGGCGTGAGGCTGCAGAGGCGTCGCAGCGGCTAGTCCCCCTCTGGCCAGAGGATCTCGCGGGCGGTGGGGCGGGACCCCTGGCCTCCTCAGGGGGAGGTGGAGTGTCCCCAAGAAGGCCCAGGCAAGCACCTGGTCTCCTCGCCCCCAGGGCGTTGGGGCCCATCTTCTCTGAGGCAGAAGAATCAGCCAGGGAGGGCAACAGGTCCTGTCCCCAGGCTCAGTCCTCGCCCTCGATGGCATAGAGGCCGGCCTCCCATCGTTCGGCCATGGCGTTCTTGTGCCGGGTCACCCGAGTGGCTCCCAGGATCTGCACCAAAAGAGGCAGTCTCCTTGGGGTCCTAACCTCAGCAGGCACCTTCGCACTGCCAGGTCACAGACAAGGCCTAGAACAGGGGGACAGGACCCCCTCTTCTGTCTCAGGCCCCTACTCCGGGTAGCCTGACGGAGGAACCTGCCGACTCCTGCCGAGTTCCTCCCCAGGGAAAAAGTCTGGACTCAGCCCAAGGAGGACGGGATTGCCGTCTGAGATCGCTGCCCTTCCACACTCACCCCTCAAGCAGTGCCCCTGCCTGGTGGTGCTAGAGGAACTGAGGCCAGGACGCCCAGAGAACCCCCCTGGTCTGAGCCCACCCCTCCACCTGGTGGGAGAGGTGAAGCCCTGCAGCCCTCACAGCGGAGTCCAGCAGCACCCACCCCCGCGGACACCACGCCCCCCTCCCCAAGCCGGCTGGGCCCCACCCTGGAGCAGAGGAGGAGGACCCGCGGGCGGATCCGCGGGATGGGTTGCCACTGTGCGTGGACTCACCTCTGAGTTGACCTGATCCGCGGGGTTGATGCCTGCATACTGCGGAGAGAGGCCAGTCAGCCCGGGTCCTTCCCCGCGCCCCTCCCAGGAGCCGGCCTGAAGGCCTCCCACACCCCTCCCTCGAACTCTCCCAGTGTCCCCACCGCCCAGACCCAAGTTGTCACCACACCGCCCCCTCATGCCACCCTCAGTGCAGCCTCCCAGTCCCCCAAGCTGGGGCTCCACCGGGAGCAGGCATTGCTGGGTGGCGGGAGGATCACCCCCGCCCGCCTGGCCTGGGGTCAGGTCCCACTCACCCAGAGCTCCTTCTTTCTCTGCCCAGCCGCTTCCTCTGCAGGGGCTTCTGCCTTCCACACCAGGCCGGAGTGCAGGTGGATGGGGGTGAACACGGGTGACTCCGACACAGAGTAGCTGCCCACGATGCCTGGGGACGGGGAGCAGGAGAAAGAAGGGGCATCAGTGGGCAGACCCACCGTCAGACCTCAGCCCCTGGAGACATAGGGTCTCTGGCTGAGGGCCTGGAACAACCAACAGCTGACAGATGGACAGACAGCAGCAACTGATCATGACAGATCCATCAGGTGAGAACCCTAAGGCAGACTCAACATCTCTCAGAAATCTGCCCTGAAGCTGCCGAGTGGGGGAAGCGGGAGAATGGAATATCTCCCCTCCCCGAGAGCCTTCAACTCTGCCTCCATTTTTATTCCAAGGCCCTAGGTCCTGAGTGAAGCAGAGACTCCACAGTCCCCTTCTCACCTGATGCCCGCGAGGAGCTCCTGGAGTCTGGCTCAGGGTCCTCCTCTGGTGGCGGAGAGAAGACCTCCGGGAAGAGAGCACTCCTCCGCTCCTCTGCCACCTCACGCTCCCGGCGCAGGACACTCTCCACCTCCCTCTCCAGCAGATCCGATGAAAGGGACTTTTGCAACCTCCACCCTGGGGCCCCAGCCGCCTCCCAGCCCCGGGCCTGGGGAGCCTCAGCCTGCTGAGGGACATCTGGGACCCTGAACCGCAGAGGACGCAGGCGGAAGTGATCCCGCCGAACAAGGCCCTCGCTGGCCAGCAGGGGTCCCCGGAGCGGCGGGGCAGACTCCTGCTTGGTGCTCAGGGGCTTTCCAGAGGATTCTGGGAGCTGCCTCTGAGACCCCAGGGCCTTGGGAGAGGCCACAGCCCTGACCCCCTCTGCGGAGAGACCACTGGGCTTGCTAGGTGATCCCAAGGCCGAGAGTCGCCGCTGGGGGCTCTGGGCGGCCAGGTAGGGCTGGTAGGCCTCGGGTGAGATGCGCTGCACTCTCCTCGAGGCTGGGGCTGGGTCAGCCGCCCGGGCGTCCCGAGTGGGACCAAGGATGGAGTCGGAGCTCATGCTTCTCCTGAGTCCAGGCTGGGGCTGCTCAGAGGCCCAGTCGGGCGTGGATGCCCGTGCCGCCTGCAGGCCCTCCCGCCGGTGGTCCTCCTGGCGCTGCGTCTCCTGAACCATGTCCCGCTGCACATACAGTGACGGACGCCCCCGGTCCCACCGAGGGGCCTCGGCCAGGCCCACCTTGGTCAGCACTGGCCTCGTGGGGATCTCCACCAGCTCCTGGTCGCCAGCTGCCCGACGCAGCCCCCTCTGCTCCCGCAGGTCAGCCTCGCGCTCCTGGGCGAGTCGGATCTCCCGCTCGATGGGCGTTTCCTTGGGGGCCTCTGGGGACTCCACCCGTGACCGGGAGCCAGGGTCCTGGACAGCTGGGATGCCGGACCCCAAAGGCAAACCACGGCCCTTCTTCTCCCTGAACAGCTCCCACACCTGGGACTCCCTGGGGACCACACTCCCATGGGCCAGGGGAGGCCTGCCTGGGGCCTGGAGAGCTGGGCTGGCCCCTGGTGGGGCACATGGGGGGGCCGCCCTGGTGGGGGGCCTGGGGGGCGCCATCGTGGCGTGTGCCTGCTCCAGGTGGATGAACTGCCGTCTCGCTGCCAGGAAGTCTATCTGCTCCCTGTCAATCCTGTTCTCCTCCAGGGGGGTGGGCCGGAGGTGGCCCAGGGGCCTGGGGTCCCCGTGGTCAGAGGTGCCGCCGAGTGTGGCCCCGGTGCCACCCTTCCTGACTGCCTGGCCCTGGATGACGGCCCAGCGCTCCTGCTCCAGGTCCTGCCGCTGCCTGGGGAGCACACTGCTGGCACCCAGGTGGTGACCCTGCATGTCCCCGTCCTTGTCATCCTCCAGGCAGACTGGTCTCAGGGACCACTGGCCAGGGAAGGCCTGCCCGCTGTGGGTCGCCCCGGTCTTCACCAGGTCCATCTGGGCCTGATGGTCAGGGGACCAGGCCTGTGGCCTGTCCTGGTTCCAGCCAGCCTCCTCGGGCCCCACGCCCACCAGCTCGATGGTGTAGGTGGTGTCTCCGTCCAGCGCTAGGCCAGTGATGCGCGCCGAGTGCGGGATACTGAAGATGGGGTACCTGGTCACCCGGTCCATCTTCTGGGGTGTCCTGGCTTGACTTTCCTCCCGTGGAGTGGAGACCTCTGGACCCACTGAGGGAGAAAGGAATGACAGCCCCCAGTCAGAGCCCCCAGGCCAGAGCCCCCCAGGTCAGATTTCCCCAGGTCACAGCTCCCCAGGTCAGAGCCCCCAGGCCAGAGCCCCCATTCAGAGCCCCAGGTCACAGCTCCCCAGGTCACAGCTCCCCAGGTCAGAGCCCCCAGGCCAGAGCCCCCCAGGTCAGATTTCCCCAGGTCACAGCTCCCCAGGTCAGAGCCCCCAGGCCAGAGCCCCCATTCAGAGCCCCAGGTCACAGCTCCCCAGGTCACAGCTCCCCAGGTCAGAGCCCCCAGGTCAGAGCCCCAGGTCAGAGCCCCCATTCAGAGCCCCAGGTCACAGCTCCCCAGGTCAGAGCCCCAGGTCACAGCTCCCCAGGTCAGATTTCCCCAGGTCACAGCTCCCCAGGTCAGAGCCCC